TTCTTTATGATTGGGGTGCGTTTATGCTTCTTTGGCAAGAAATGCCTCAAAAATGATGGTCCTTGGTGCAAGGATTCATGATGTCGATATGTCTTATTACTCACGATGTTTATTTCGATCACTTAGTTGTGTGCTGAGTTTCTCTGCTGTCAGCTTACTATCTTACCCTTTGTAGTTCATAGGTATCTCCAGGGAAATACTTCCAGGTTATGCAAATCTAGCTTCTCCTTAAACTTTGGCCCACTATTTTTAGCATCCATCACAGCATTTTGCTAAGTCTACCCAAATTACTGTGAGTTTGCCTAAAAATCATCCTCTATTTCCCTCTTCCCATTATGTATATTAATAGGAATTCTACTGTAAGGAAGAGTTGTCCCTTTTCATTTACTTGTTTGTTTATGTGTATGTATGTATGTATGTCTTTACATCAGTATGGACTCATGAATATTTATTGTATTCTATTATGTGAGTTAAAATCAAATTCTCTCAGTTTTTAAAAATTATTTTAGTGCTCAGGTTGTGCCAACTTTTGTCATTGGGAGCTCCGTCAGATCAGCGTGTGTTTTTTTCCAGCAAGTCCCCATCTTTTTTTTTTTTTTTTAAACAATCTCCTATTTTCTGTAGGAGTCTTTGGGTGGAGCAAATGGTTAAACACTTGTCTACTAACCAAAATGTTGGTGTTTCTAACCCACTCAGAGGCACCTTGGAAGAAAGGACTGGCACTCTGCTTCCAGAAGGTCCGGAAAAAAAAAATCCTGTTGCCATCAAGTTGATTCTGACTCATCGTGACTCTATTCCAAGGAGAAACTGGTGGATTTGAACTGCCAACCTTTTGGTTAGCAGCCAAGCTCTTAACTACTGCACCACTAAGGCTTCTCTGAAAGGCCACTGTCATAAAAACCCTATGGAGTGCAGTTCCACTCTGAAACATATGGGGTCACCATGAGTCAGAATCGACTCAATGTCAACTGTTAAAAATTTTCTGGCACCACAGGATGTTCCAGGCCCATCCTCTATTTTCCCTCCCCAAGCCCTAGGATCAACGACTACTCCAAGGGGCCCTGGTTCCTTTTATTGGAAATAGTGCTTCAAAACCAAGGACTGGATGCCAAGTGTGCTCATTGCTACTAGAGTTCCAGTATTTCTAGGCCCTCTCAGCTAATACAGCAAATATATGTATGTGTACTAACCCACACATATACACACTCAGATCTGTGTTTCTACATCTATATGACTGTATACATATTGAAAAATATGAATCTATATTAATACCTCTGATTCCAATCCAGGACCACAAGATTCGTTTTAGCCTTATTTGTAACTTCTTTTTCCAGTGAGAACTCTGGATCTCATTATCTACAATATATTTACTTATTTGTTTAATTCTCATATACATATTTCAGAATTGGTAACCAATATCCCTGACAGAAACATTGTTACTAGATTACAGCCTTTACATACAGTTTTTTCAGGGCCTTATGGTGGTGCAGTGGTTAAGAGCTACCACATGCTATGGCTGCTTATCCAAAAGGTTGGCAGTTCAAATCCACCAGCCACTCCTTGGAAACCCTGTGGAGCAGTGAGTTGGAATCAACTCAGCAGCAACATGTTTTGTTTGATCTTTATAGTATCCGGTCAAGATATTTATTGTTTTCCATGGTTACTTAGGTTAATTCTTACCTACCTCACCCCTTCCAGTGTTGTAGATTATTAATTTAATACAGTTCTGTTCATTTGTCAGTGCTTGTATTCCATTTTGGATTCCCTCACCCCTGCTGGTTTTAACAGTGTGTTTAATTGGGAGGTATGTGAAACATTACTATAGTTGAGTCAGAAGTATAAAAAAAAAAAGGTATATTCAGAAAAGTGTCACTCCCTCCTCATCCTTGTTACCATATTTTCCTTCCCCCTTCTTTCCATCCTTTTGTCATCCATCCCCATAGATAACCAATCTTTCATTTTTTTAAAAAATTATCCCTCCCATATTTCTTTTGCACAAATGAGCAGAAACTTGTGTTTATAGATAAGCTTTTTCAGTTAAATGTATGCACTAGAATCCATTCCATATTAGTTCACTGAGATTTTCCTCATTCATTTTTGTAGCGGCATGCTCATCAGTTGTGTTGGTGTTCCATAGTTTATTGAACAATTCTCATATGTACTGATATTTAGGTTGTTTCCAATATTTTGCAATTCCAAATGATGCTGCAATGAATAAACTTGGGCATGCAATCCCCAGATGTAATTATTGACTTGAGGAAAAATAATCACAATTTTAATATATAGCTCCTTTTAAGAAAAGTGTTCCAGAAATGCTGTATGCCAAAAGCCAAGCTAGAGTATGTAGTAAAATTGTCTACGAAGGGAAAGTCTGTCCCAGCAGATGGAGTGCTGCAGGTGGTCTGCCCAATGTCGTCATATCCATGTTTATATAACTCAGCTCCTGTGAGAAAGCTGGAGAAGGGAGAATTTGTCTAGTTCAAAACAGCTCCTTCCCAAACTTTGTCTTCAATAAAGCAATCATAGTAAAATTATATCAAAACAGCAAAGTCCAGAATCAAGGCTTTGAACCCAGAATTGTGGAACAAAAAGAACCAAGTACAAGTCTCCCCTTCCTTTCAGCTTTTCTACAAATCACATTTTTCCTCTTAGCACAGTTGCTATCATATCTAAAATGGAAATGATCACAGAGTGCCCCCCATTTTCTATCACTCCGGGTCCCTTTTACATGTTGTATCAAAGGTACATGGAGGCTTTCTGGGTCAGAAGTAGTGAAGAATAGATGGAGAAAGTGAGCCATTTGAAAACAAACGTCAGTGAGTTGTGCAAATTTCAGTCACTTATGGAAGTGGTTTTGTTTTTCATTAAAAACGAGTACACTCCCTCTGTTCTGGCATCAAATTACCCACATAATTACAGTTTCCCCAGTAACCTGCAATTGGTCTGTTTTGTTGACATCCTCCCATTTTATTTTAATAAATACCAAACGGTACATTTATTTTACACTAAAAAACCAAACCAAACAAACACCAAACCCATTGCTGTCAAGTTGATTCCGATTCATAGTGACCCCTACAAGACAGAGTAGAATTGCCTCAAAAGGTTTCTAAGGAGTATCTGGTGGATTCTAACTTGTGACGTTAACCACTGTACCACCAGGGCTCCAAAATCTTCCTCCCATTACACAGTGAGGAAAGGAAAGAACACTAAGGATGGGATCCGAACCCACACGTGCAGAGCACAATGGACTACCAGTCCATCACCTTAAGGACTCAGCCACCTCTTTTTTCCATTATTTTGTACTAACCCATTGCTGTCAAGTGGATTCTGACTCATAAAGACCCTAAAATTAAAGTAAATATGCTTACACATTAAGGTTTAAGAAGTATTGATAATTTACATCACTTTTATACCAAATTCGTTGTTAATTTAAACAAGACAATTTTCAAACATTTCATTAATATTGTATCAAAGATACGTATTCTCCTTTGTTTTAGTGGTGGAGGCAATGGAATTAAAAATCAAGGTAATGCCAATGCCTTGTTACAACTTGCTACATTCATAGAATAGTATCACCTTATTTATAACATTGTGCAAAATTGTATCTTATCTCTCTACTGGTGGCTTGAAGCTTTGAACACAATTCTGCACTGTTTTCCTGGAATAATTCGTTTAGTTGTGCTTTCATTGCCAACATATACTCTTCATTGGTTGGGCAACTACCTAAACAAACCCACTCCTTCAGAAGCCTTGCAAAGGATTTCTTCAGAGGGCAGTGACATGGCTTGGGTAGGCTCTCACAGTTCTGTTTCTGAGATGGAAATTTAAACTTGTCATTGAATCCCTACATGAGACTTCTTCTCTTTTTTTATGGAGCTCTGAGAAGTTTTGGGCCATAATCTTTCCCGGGAGTGACACCATATTTAGTGTGTTGACTAGTCATTCATCGCTGTTCAGGGTCTAAGGATTCTCCGGTAAAGAGAATGGATGTGTTCTAATTTCTGCTTCCCATTTATTTTCCCTTATGATCAGTGCTTGAATTCCAGCTCTAAATAATATATTAATTACAAATTTGGTTCTGAAGCAAATGCCCAAAGAACTTACCAAGGCCGAAGACAAATTCTTCAAAGTAAAGTGCACACCCTCTTCAAGTTACTTTGTGGATATCATCTGCGTCTTCCTTGAAAATTAAATATTTTTCATTTGTGTGTACCCTGACTGTGTTTTGGGCTCCCTTCTTCCCCATATATCCTAAATTCAAGGTATCTCAACCCACGGAGCAGTTGTCCAGAAGAAAACAGAAGCAACAGCCCCGCCCTCAACCCTTGGGAACAGAAAGGAAAAGAATTATCCTAAGGAATTGTTTAAAAATCCAGGTGAAGCAGACAAAATAAAACGAGGGCGGCACAGATTGATGTCCCAGGGGTCCAGAAGTTAACCTCAAGTGGGCAATAATTTGTTTGGGATTAAACTAAACCAGTTTGATGAACTCAAATGCCCTCTGCTCAATAGGCAGGACTCTCCCAGGAGCCTGTGTTACTTCCCTCACTTAAGCGCAGATTTGTAATAAAAATCTTAATGCCAGTGGCATGTTTTTTGGACATATAAGAAACTAACCACTTGGAGAATCATATCTGAGGGGTCAGAAAACTCCACACTTGAAGATCGGTTTATAATTTACAAAGAAAATAGAAAGTTTTGTTCCTCTGAGTTGAAATTTGCCGAGCACGGCGGGAAATATTGCAGGTTTTTGGCATAAGGTTTTGTGCTTTGCTCATAATCTGAGACCGCCTTGAAGCCTGAGGCTTCGGGGATCATCTTCTGAGAAAAACCGGGCAATTCAGAGTAGAGAATTTTGATATTTTTGAGCTTTTTTGAGGTGTAACAAACACAACTCGGGATCGGAGAGGAGACTCTGCGGCTGCCAGTGAGGCGGGCTGGACAGCGCACCAATCACGGCGCAGCTCCGCCCTATATAAACGGGCGGGCGCAGCGGTGCAGCCTGAGTCCCGGCCAGTGTCTCTGTTTCCGGCTGGAATTGCATTTCCTACGCCCACCCTCAACATGTCCGAGACTGCGCCCGCCGCGCCCGCCGCTCCGGCCCCTGCCGAGAAGGTGCCAGTGAAGAAGAAGCCCCGCAAGTCCGGAGGTGCAGCGAAACGCAAAGCGTCCGGGCCCCCGGTGTCCGAGCTCATCACCAAGGCGGTAGCCGCGTCCAAGGAGCGCAGCGGCGTGTCCCTGGCTGCGCTCAAGAAGGCGCTGGCGGCCGCCGGCTATGATGTGGAGAAGAATAACAGCCGCATCAAGCTGGGTCTCAAGAGCCTGGTGAGCAAGGGTACCCTGGTGCAGACCAAGGGCACCGGTGCCTCAGGCTCCTTTAAGCTCAACAAGAAGGCAGCTTCAGGGGAAGCCAAGCCCAAAGCCAAGAAAGTGGGCGCAGCCAAGGCTAAGAAGTCCGCTGGGGCAGCTAAGAAGTCCAAGAAGGCGGCGGGGACGGCCACCCCGAAGAAGAGCGCCAAGAAGACCCCAAAGAAGGCGAAGAAGCCAGCTGCGGCTACAGGAGCCAAAAAAGCAAAGAGCCCGAAAAAGGCGAAAGCAGCCAAGCCCAAGAAGACGCCTAAGAGTCCAGCAAAAGCCAAAGCGGTGAAACCCAAGGCGTCTAAACCAAAGACCGCCAAGCCCAAGGCTGCCAAGCCAAAGAAGGCGGCAGCCAAGAAAAAATAAGTTTTCTTGGCCAACTGCTTACAGGCTCAACACAACCCAAAGGCTCTTTTCAGAGCCACCCAGAGATCTCAGAAAAGAGCTGTTTTACACCACACTGCAAGGGTTGTGGTCGTAAGGGAAGCCACACAGGAGGGCTGGGCCTTCCAGGTAGGGGTGAGGGGGGTGAGAGGTCTAGTGACAGCGGTTCCAATTAAAATCATGGGTGTTTCGTGAACCGGACAGATGTAGTTATTTTCCCTCTCTCCATCTCGGGTCTAGTGAGTGCACAACTTTAAAAGAAACGGGCTGGAAATCCGACTCCACCCCACTGCAGGAAGTAGGCTTGTTTGGAGACTTCTTGACCTGTTAAGATTTACACATTGCCAAACTTTTTGGTGTAGGGATCTGAGAAGGCAAAGAGTGAACTTCCAGGTAATTGCGCAGTGTTGAGCTCCACGTCGTTGCTCAAGATAAGCTGCGGTGGGCGCGTACTCGCTCACATGAACAGCGCGTTGCAGGCCAAGTCCAGCATCTAGGCGGTACGCACAGCCGCCAGGTGCTCACAGGCCAGCCCAATCCGCGGAGCTGTTCTTGCGAGCCAGTAACTGACTCCACCCACAAGCCTCGTTAAGACTTTTAACTGTCTGCTCTCTGTGACTATGCAGCAAGCTTGCTCGGAAAAAGTAGCTTTGGGCAGCCTAGGTTAGGCTTTTTGATTGGGTGTAAGCAAAGTAATGAAATAGCCAATGAAAATGCAAACCTGATAGTGTCATTTACAATCGCGTTTGTGACGACATACTGAGATAATCCAATCGTAAGCTAAATTTTATTAACTTTATTTGAATACCGCGTCTATAAATAAATGCGATCTCGCCGGGATTGATTATTCTCCTATGTGTTGGTGATACTGTTTAACTTTTAACGCTACGATGCCCGAACCTACCAAGTCTGCTCCGGCACCGAAGAAGGGCTCCAAGAAAGCGGTGACCAAGGCGCAGAAGAAGGATGGCAAGAAGCGCAAGCGAAGTCGCAAGGAGAGCTACTCGGTTTACGTGTACAAGGTGCTGAAGCAGGTCCACCCGGATACCGGCATCTCGTCCAAGGCCATGGGCATCATGAACTCGTTCGTCAACGACATCTTCGAGCGCATTGCTGGTGAGGCGTCTCGCCTGGCGCATTACAACAAGCGCTCTACCATCACTTCCAGGGAGATCCAGACGGCAGTGCGCCTGCTGCTGCCTGGGGAGCTGGCCAAGCACGCTGTGTCCGAGGGCACCAAGGCCGTCACGAAGTATACCAGTTCTAAGTAAACCTTCCAAGTAAGCGTCTTTACAGCTAACCACAAAGGCTCTTTTAAGAGCCACGCATGCTTTCAACAAACGAGTTGTAATCCTTAATATTCCAAATGCTATTCTTGGGTTTCTTTTACCAAATTTGAAGCTATTCTACCATTCTTTAATGTTCCATTAGAGCTGCGTGGAAAAGATTTGTAAGGTACCGCCAATGATAATAGCATAAACTGAATTGTCCCTAAGGGCATACACAGTTGTATAGAATCATAAGATCATTTAGTTTCACTTTGAAATTAATATGAACTTTAACACATTTCAAGTGTACTGTTTTAATTTTATGTACAGGTCTGCAGGTTGATGCTGACGTTGATCCTCTTAACGACTGGATGGATTCTAGGTGATGAGTGCTCACTATGAGCGCGAAGGGGCATGCTCTTGACAACTTTGTTCGGCTCAGAACCCTTTAAAAAAAAATTTCCTTTTATCATCCAAATATGTATTACTGAAAAAGGCTGAAGACAATGTGAATTTTCACAGAAATATTACAAACGGTTTCCTAACTAGTTTGCCTGCTTTGCAGTTTGGCCAATTTCTGCTGGAGGCTCTGAGCAGGCTAATGAGAGTGGAAGAGGAGGAGTCTAATGCTGTTTAAAAGGGACGGAGAAAGAGGAAGGGGAAGGAGTCAGGTCTCTCATTTATAGGGTTTGACTCCAAAGGAAGCCAAAATCGCAGAGTCAGTTTAAAAGCTCTCCAGGTAACAAGACAGAAGTCTGATACTCCATAGTTGAAGATGTCTGAGTGTGGTCAGGCAATCGTCATCTCAGGACTGAGGCCTTCTTTTCAGTACCATTCAACCTTTCTCAGATCCCCTGAGTGTCAAGGAAGTCGATGTAGAAAGGAAAAGAAAGCCTCTTCTGACAGGATATAGCTTCTGGTGTGCAAGGCAGGCTGGCATGAAGGGTTTTTACTGTTAGCACATGAATTTATGCGGGGAAAATAAATCTAAAAAAAGAGGTTGGAGGAATTCGAAAAGAGTGATCGGGATGGAAGGAACCAATGGCTCAGAGTTTGACAAGATAATTGTGAGGTGGATGAGGCTGGGCTTGGAGTGAAGTGCTTATGGAGATGGAGAATTTGGTTAAAGTGGATGCTAGCAGAAGTAGGAATGAATTCAGCAATTCTAGTGTCCTGGCAACTTCCCAAATAAGCATGGATTCATGCACTATGGGGATAGATTTTTCATAATATGGTGAGGTTGATACCTGGATAGACAATTAAAATCCTGGATAGTTCTGTTTTTTAATTCTTAAAAGCACCAAAGAGCTGCTAAGAAAGTAAGGAATCTGGCCTAGGGATTTGACTCACATGAAGCCTCCAGTACCACACCTGGCTTTCACCCAAACACGAGCTTTGGCTTTTCAGGTGTTACAAGAAATCTGTCCATGGTGAGGAGCCTGATAAGAAATCTTTCTCTGTGAAGCTCAGATACCAGACCAAAAGCTACATCCTCAGAAGATAAACTAGAAATAACTATCCACCCATAGACACACAAAAACACATTTAACCACAGGTGATTGTAAAGAAAAGTTTACATACTGCGGGCTTTCATACCACAGGAATTCAAAGAACCCAAGCTAGTTCTGTGCCCCTGTGCACCTGGTAGAAGCAAACACAATCTCTGGAGGAAACAGCTTTATTTTAGGCCTCAACAAATCTCCACAGATAAAATATCAAGGACAATGACTGAGCAGCATCACAATCAAAATTAACCACACACTATGAAACAAGACACTGTGACCAAGAGCAGCAAGAACAACTGACAACAGAAACAAAAGAAGAAAAGGGAATTATCAAATACAAATTTCAAATAACTATTATCTTTAAAAAAAATGTTCAAAATATGTTCAGGAACCAAGAAAATACAAAGAATGACAAGAACATTTGAAAAAAGAACCAAATAAAAATTCTAGAATATACACACACACATACATATACATACACATATACACATACATTTGTGTGTAACATATATATGTTAATTATATCACAAAATCGAAAGCTTATGAGTTCAACAGCCAGTTGGACCCAGCTGAAGTAGATAGGCAGATCTTAAGGAATTATCCAAAATGTAGCACAGAGAAAAAAAGGTAGAAGTGAGTTTAAGAGATAACAGAATTTGTAATGAAAAGGTCTGACATGTATCTAATCATAAAACCAGAGAGAATGATGCAGATGTATGATTGAAAAGATCATTGCTGAGAACTTTCTAGAATTGATGAATTATTCATATAGTTAAAAATAAGGAGAGTGAAAAATAATACAAGAAAAAAGGGTTACTATGTAACATTGTATGAGTAAATCACAACAAACGTAATGCTGATTTTCATAGGGTAAGCCTTCTGTTTCATAGTGACAGATGGCATCAGACTGAAGGACTGCTTGAAATTTTGTGTGGGGAATAATAATTAATTCATTATTTACATATATTTTGCATCCAGCTAATTTACCCACATTTTGTTAATTCTAGTCAATATTTAATGGACTGTCTTAAGTTTTCATTGCATATAATGATGTCATTAGCAAATAAAAATGTTTGGTCTTCCCAATAACTATTTCTGTTAATTGCTGTTAGTATCTTATTGAATTAGCTAAAATCACAAACAATAGTCCATACCAAACTTGCTAGCAGGCATCATTGTCTTCTTCCTTCCTTTCATGAAAATGGCCTTGGTAGTTCATTATAAGAATATTTGCTTTTTGGATTGTGAATAGTCTTTATTGTGTTGATGTAGTTTCCTTCTAATCCTATTTTACGAGCTTTTATTAGGAATGATTTGTGAGTTTTATCCAGTCTTTTCTTTTTTTTTTTTTTTTTTTGGCATCTGCTAAGGGCATGTGCTTTTTCTCCTTTCACCTGTTGCAATGAAGTATAGATAAATTTCCTAATGTTTATCCATTCTTGCATTCCTAGGGCAAATCTTACTTGGCCATGTTAAATATTATCATTTAAATAATGGCTGGATAAATTTTGTTAATATTTTACATGAATTTTTTCTATCTCTATTCATGCATAAAAACTGTTCTATGTTTTTCTCTTTTGGCATTACCTTTATTAGATTTTGTCATTAAGATTATGGTAGCTTAGGAAACATAATTGTGGGGCTCTCCTCTCCATCTGAATATATTATTTATTGCTGTGTAACAAATTATCCCAAAACTCAACAGCTTAAATAAATAAACATTTATTATTTCATACAGTTTCTGTGGGTCAAGAATCCAGGAGTGATTTAGCTGAGTGGTATGGGTAAAGATCTCACATGAGGCTGAAGTCAAGATTTCAGCAAAGGCTGCATGCAGTCACACTTCCAAGATGGCTAGCTGCCTGCCAAGTTTGTGCTGGCTGATGGCAAGAGGCCTCAATTCCTTGCAACATAGACCTTTCCATAGAGTCAATTAAAGGTCCTCAAAAAGTGGCAGCTGATTACTTCAGAAAGGGAAATTATAGAGAGAAAAAGACAGTGGGAGGAATAAGTCATCATGCCTTTTATGACCTACTTTCGGAAGTCACATACTGTCAACTTCTGCCACATTCTATTCATTAGAAGTAAGTCACTTCCAAACTCAGGAGGGGAATTAGGTTTCACCTTTTGAGGTAAATATAGTCAAAGAATTTGTTGACATATTTTAAAACCACCATGTCATCTTCTTTATATTTTAAATAGTTGAATGTAAAAATTATTTGTGCTTTAAAGATTAGATAGAACTCAGCTATAAAATCACCTGGGCTTGATACCTTTATAAGGCAGAACTTTAAGAATCCCGACAACTTACACTACAACTGACCACTATTATAGACAAAGGCCAATAAAATACCCATGTGATCAGAGACTGTCCTCAGTGGATTTTCCCTTAGATTGTAAAACAGTGACCCCTGAAGTTACATATAGGGTTGCTATGAGTCAAAATCGACTTGATGGCAACAGGTTTGGTTTTGGTTTGGTGGTTATATAAAACATTAGCCCAGCACATTGCAGATACTTAAAAAAAGTATTGAATGTATTGATTTAATTCATCAGAGAAATGCTAAACTGCAATCTGTAAAGCAAATTTCTGATGCATTATCATTGTTGGAATATCCAACGAACTAATAGGTTTGGTCTTTTTGAAGAAAAACAGATTAAAGGAGAAAAATAAACACAATTAAAAATTAAGGTTCCAGAAAATACTATATGAAAATTTTTTTTGAAAATTTTTTTTTAAAAATTTTTTTGGAAAAAAAGGAATGAAATTTAAAATCAGAAAATTTAAAGCTAATTTAATAATTTATTTAAAATATAGAATTTAAGATTGATCATTGATTAATACTAAAAACAAAAAATATATATGATGTTTAAAGTGTAAGGTAACTTAAGCTAAAGAGAAACCAAATAGAAGAATTTAATCATGAAAGCTTATAAGGAGATTCAAGGTGTCTCAAAATTCCCTAGTAAATTGTAACATTGCTACAGTCCAGGGTGTTTGTTTATACATAAATTCAACAGAGATTCACCGAGTATTCTTAGGCTAGGCACTGGGATGGGTGCTGGAGCTACAAAGAGCGATAAGATTGAACTTGACTTACATATTGGAACCATCAGTTTTGTAGACTGAGTCAAGGAAGCTTAACAGCTACTGCTTTCATTTTCTTTTGTCTTTCACTAAGGCCTAAAAAAAACATTTCTCACCCTGGAAATCTGAAGGCAAGTGAGTGGCTTTGGCTCATATGGGGACTACCAAACTCATTCAATTGAAGCAAATTATTTACCCAATTTTTGAGTAATAAACAAAATACAGTAATATTAATATTGTGACAGTGGAAAGTTAAGAACAGTCCACAGGATCACCCTTCTTCTGCCATCAATTGCAAATTCAGAGGTCTCCAAAACCACCTTCAAGTCTGAAAATTCACTGAGACTCACAGAAATCACTGAAAGCTGTTACACTCATAGTTATGGCTTATTACAGTGAAAGGATACAGATTAAAATCAGCCAAGGGAAGAGATGCATGGGCAGAGTCCAGGGAGGTTCCAGATGGGGAACTTCCAGTTGTCCTCTCGCAGTGGAGTCATGGACAGCATTAACTCCTCAAGGCAATGATGTGTGACCAAAGACATGGAGTATTGCCAACCAAGGAAGTTCACCTGAGCTTTGGTGTCCAGAGTTTTTATTGTGGCTTGATAACATACACCTGGTTCATACCTTGAGTAGCTGACCTTTAGGCTCCACCCCCTCTGGAGGTAAAGCAGAATACTACCTGATCCCAAACCACCAACATAAGTCACATTGTTAGACTATCTGGTGTGGCCTAAGGCCCCAGGTAAGCAAAGACACTCTTATTAGGCACGATATTCCAAGGGTGGAGAGATCACCTCCCAGGAGCCACGGGCAAAGGCCAGGCCTCTCTTAGGGTAAGGTTAATTCTATACTACACACATAAAAATATATATATTTTTGAAATTTTTAATGAGATATCTATCATTGGTCATAACTTGAGTTGTACAACTATTTGATTTTTATTATTGCTGTTAGATAGCTGTGGCTATTCAGATGGATTGTGAACCCAAAAATTATAAAGATTTCTCACTGAAGACTTTTTTATGCTTTGTTCAGATGAACAACCTCAGCAGTCTTTTCTCTGATTTATACTCCCAACACCCCTCTAAACCCTGGCTGCAAGAAAAGAAGACTCGGAAGATAATAGAAAACAACTTTGGGGGAGAGTTCAGAGTTCTTAAGCTTGTTCAGGTAGCTTGGGTATTTAGTGCTAAACAGGAAAAAAAAACTTATTTTCTTCACTTAAGCAGCAGTACTTGAGTGGATTTTCCCTTCATAAAACATGAAGTTTGCTATCACTGACAGTGAATAGAATTGTAGAAAAGTGGGTAAATTGCTTTTTAGGATTTTGTTTAAAAGTTAACAGTGAACATTAATCAGTATTTCATAAATACAAAACAATGTGTTATAAATATCACAGCCAAATTATGGCTATTTATTTGTTTTGTTTTTGGAAAGGGGGAGGAGCCTGGGAAGAAGAAGAAAGGTGAGAGGAATTGGGGAGGACTCAGGAAAGGAAGGAAGGAAGCAAACTGGCTGTTCACAAAAGACCTCAGTTCCTTGCCACATGGACCTCTCCAGAGAGTTAATTGAAGTTCCTCAAAAAGTAGCAGCTGATTTCCCCCAGAAAGAGAAATCATGAGAGAAACAGAGAGGGAGGGAAAGAGCTGAGAGCTGAGGGAGAAGCCTACGGCTCACTGTGGTAGGACAGAGTCAGAGAGAACAAAGAGAAAAAGGGAAGATGAGTAGGTAGACCTTGTCATGTATTTGACGTCTCGGGCGCATCAGTTCCAACTCAGAACTCGTTGCCATGAACTCATAACAACCCTATAGCACAGAGTAGAATTGCCCCATAGGGTTTCGGAGGAGCGGCTGATGGATTCGAACCGCCGAACTTTTGATTAGCAGCCGAGCTCTTAACCACTGAGCCATCAGGGCCCTATTCTGACTCATAGTAACCCTATATGACTGAGTGGAAGTGCCCCATAGGGGTTTCCTAGGCTATAATCTGCCCTGGTGGTGTCCTATAGGGTTGTATGAGTTGGAATCAACTCGATGTCAAAAGGTTTTTTTTTTTTTTTTTTTCCATTACAGAAGCAGATCACCAGCAAGCAGATCACCAGGTCTTTTCTCTCCCGGAGTGGCTGGTGGGTTTGAACTCCACTTTTCAGTTAGCAGCCCATTACTTAAACATTGCATTGTGCCACCAGGGCTCCTTTTTGATGTCTTAGTTAGATATAATAATTTAAAACAACAACAACAACAAAAAAATACCTCATGGCCATTGAGTTGATTCCAGCTCATAGCAGGACAGAGTAGAACTGCCCCAAAGGGTTTCCAAGGCTG